CTTGGTGTGGCGCTGTGGGTTAATGCACTGGACTACCAGCTGCTCCTTGGAAGTCTTATACAGGGTCTCTATGAGTTGGAACCAACTCAATGATACTTAACAAGCAGTTGCTATGAGTCAGAAATTATATTTAATAGCAAAAACAATATGTAAATAGAGTCCTGGTCTGGCACTAAAGAATAAACACTGGACTGCTAACCGCAAGTTTGACGTTCAAACTCACCAGTCAATCCTTGGACCTTATACAGAATCGCTATAAGTTGGAACCAACCTCATGATGCATAACAACAATAATTTATATAGATAGATACTTCTCCATAATCTCATTATAGCATTTTCAGACACCAACTTTTCTTAAGGGCAATATTAGAGACAATTACTTGGAAATACTTCTTGAATTAATACCTATGATTCTGTTGATGAATATTTACAAGTACATTAATTGTCATTTGTTGATAACATTTTCAATGACAATTCCAGCAACCCATCTAAAGCAAATTTAAGTCCAACCGCATGTAAAAATAGATAATTTTCATTGGAATCAGGAAAAATGTTTATAGGTTTTAGAACATAGTGCCCTTGAATAAAAATGACAATAACAGGCTCTGCTAAGAGCTTATACCAGAATTTTATAGAGTTCACTTATTCTTGGTGAAAGTTTCCTTAACCCAGGATGAAACTAGGAAAAAGTGGCACTCACCATGGACCTGGAGACTGTAAAATAACTCTGTAGCTCCAGCTGAGTTAATGGCCACACATTTATATATGCCAGCATCTGAGATCTGGGCACTTTCGATATCAATAATCTGTCCTCTGTTTAAGAATGACACACTGGAACTTGAGAGTGGACGACCATCTTTATACCATGTAATAGCTGAAAGGGGAGGGGAGAGAAGACATTCTGTGTAAAAAATTATATACACTTAACTAAAATATTAGCAACTGCCTCATTCATTCACATGCTTATAATTCAAGTATAATTTGTTTAACCGAACATCCCTTCAGGATGGACTATTAATAATCTCTAACGGTATTCCTGGTGTGGCGCTGTGGGTTAAAGCGCTAGACTGCAAAGTTGTTTGAGCTGCAAGGTTGGCGGTTCAAGCTCACCAACTACTCCTCGGAAACCCTATACAGTGTTTAGGGTTAACAACACTTAACAACAACAACCTCTAAAGAGTCAAGCCTTTCTTAGAATGATGAAATAAAGCAATGGAAAAAAAAGTCAGTTCTGACCCATAGAAATCCTGTATAGGGTTTCTGAGGAGCAGCTAGTGAGCTTAAACTGCTGACCTTAGGGTTCAAACCGACTTTGCAGTCCAGTGCATTAATGTTCAGAGTCACACAGGAATTCCATATTATCTTAAATGTCTCAATATTCTTCGATAGTAAATTTTCAGCATAGACTATTTCTTCTGTTGTATATATTCTTCTGATGTATAAAAATTTGATAATCACAACCAAATACTGTCTACAGTATTAACTTTCAAAATTTTTTGATATTAATTGATATACATAACCTGCCAGTGATGTGAGCCCACAGGAAAAAAAAATAAGATTCCCATCAGAATGACCATAATTTATAATCAAATGGGTTATTTTAATTAAGTTAATATTTAAGGCTAAAAACATATTTTCAAAACAAATGTTTGTAAAATATCATGTGGTGTTTGTGAACTCAATATATGGCATTCACATATTTCTACCTTGTCTAAATTTAGAAATTAGTTCGTTCAGTGAAAAGCTATGAACATTTAAAAATCTTATCTCTTATCAGATTCTTATCAATGATTTATTCTTGAAATGTAGTCAAAATTTTTTCTTTGTTAGTAATTACCAATATCATGCTCATAAACAGTTTTAGTTATTCCCAGAAATCTTGAAATGTTAATAAGTTACAGAGTTCAAAAGTAAACATACCAGGCAAAGGATTTCCAGCTGCCTTACACTCCAGTTGGATGGGGTTGTTCACTACCACGGTCTCATTCAGCATCTTCCCTGCATCCTCCAGACTGGGTGGTTCTGGAAGAAGACCAAACAGATCATTAATTAACTTAAGTGCAATATTTAAGCTGAAATTGTCTGTTCACTGGAAGTAATTGTTTCTTTCTTTTCTTTCTTCTTTCCTTCCACATATATATATGAATATATTTGGAATAAAAATATACTGTTAAGTAGAATGGAGTCCTGGTGTGGCACTGTGGTAATGTACTGGGCTGGAAGGTCAGTGGTTCAAGCTCACCAGCTGCTCCTCGGAAACCCTATGTAGGAACTATGGGTTGACACAATAGCAATTAACAACAACAGCAACATTAAGTATCACGGGATCATTCCTCGGAGAAGGACATCATGCTTGGTAAAGTAGAGGATCAGTGAAAGAGTGGAAGACCCCCCCAACCAGATGGATTCACACAGTGGCAATGCGCTTAAGTGTAGCAACAATTGTGCAGATGGCGCAGGATTGGACAGTGTTTTGTTCTGTTGTGCCTAGAGTAGCTAGAAGTCAGAAATGACTCGATGGTACCTAACAACAACAACATTAAGTAGAACTGAAGAACAGAACTAAAAAAGAACATAATGTGTTTTCTGAATCATTGATTTCTTTGTGCACAGATAAATAAACCCTTAAAAATGTGGATTAACAGAGTAGTAAAATTTGGTGGTTCAAATTCACCATCAACTCCTCGGAAACCATATACAAGGAAGCTATTAGTTGGAACTGACTTAATGGCACTTAACAACCACCACAACAAAAAGTAACTTAAATATGTATTATTTTAATTCCAATTACTTATCTGATGAATTCTTCTTACCAGGAAGTAATTCATCCTATTTAAACTCCTCCAGTGAGTTGGTGTGAGGGAAACTTCCAGGGAAGGAAAAATTATTCATTAAAATATTCATCTATAGCTTTAGATAGTGCTATCTTAACCATTTCTGAAAATGAAAATCCATTATTTATTAGTGCTTTTTTTCTCTTGTATATAAAATTTATATGCAATTGAATTTTAGTAAAATTAAACAGAAAATAACTATTTTAAATAATTATTGATAACACTGTTCCATTATTCAATGCATTTGTAAGAAGGTATTCATAAAATCTAGGAGGCATAATATAAAATTAATAATAATGTAAAAACAAACATTTTAGATGTTAACAACGTATGTCCTGGAGCGTGGGAGGGGCCCCAGGTATTTAAAAAAAAAAAATTACTTAAAATGCTATAGCTTTAAGTAAATATTTTAAGTTTTAAAAAAACATTAAAATATTTGCGAAATTTAACTCATTCAGTGCACTAAGGGATTCTCCCCCACTACCATAGTGGTTATGAATTGGGCTGCTAACCTCAAGGTCAGCAGTTCAAAACTACCAGCTCTTCCGTGGGAGAAAGATGAGGCTTTCTGCTCCCATAAAGATTTACAACCTTGGAAACCCTGTGCAGGGTCACTATGAGTCGGAACCGACTCCTCGGTACTTAACAACAAACAATAACAACACAATCAATCAATCACTATTAATCTAGCAAAAAGAGGCACCCTGGTGATACTTATCTTACAGTGCCAGAACAGGACTCCACTCACTACATTAGAAAACTTAAATTAAAAAGAATGAATGCAAACAAGAATGGTGAGCTAAGTAACCCAAACGTGAAACCCACTGCTATTGAGTCGGTTCAGATTCATAGTGACCCCACAGGACAGAGTGCACCTGTTCCATACAGTTTCTGAGACTGCAAGCTTTAAGAGAGCAGAACACCAGGTGGGTTTGCACTGCCTTATTTGTAATTAGTAGCCCAAGACTTGATCCACGCTGCCAGACTCCTGAACACCCATAAGAACACTGACAAAAATTGTTGGAATTAGCTTTTCCAGAACTCTAGAAATTAACTTGCAACAATCCTAGATTTGTTTATTTAAGAAAAACAACTTTATCTCATTAAGAATACCCAGTTTTGTGGCATTTTAATTTGTCCTATTCCCATTACTCTCTCCCAACTCAGGTATCCTGGAGAATCAGAAGTCCCTCAATCACAGTTAAAAACCAAGAAAAGCAAACATACTAACCAAAAACCACCCTAGTAGTCATTGGATAAGACAGAATGGGTTTGAAGCTCTTCAAAGGCACCATTCTTACAGAATTTTCATTAATTGACTTGTCTTTGACTCACAGAGCCTATTTGACACTCAGCATTAACAGTATTTTCCTCAGGAATATTCGCTGAAAAGGATGAGGAACAGTTACTTAATTTTGTAGCTGCCTGATACTCAGAAATAATGGAGGTTAACAAGCGCTGACCAAAAATTTTAAATGGAAAAGCTGGAGTATGAAATGTCCATAGGGGACTTTGACAGTTCTGTGATATATTTCTAAGAATCTGAAAGGCTACAAGTATGCCCAGGTCTGAGGGCCCAGTGACAGGAATGATCTGAGAAGACCCTAAATTCTCACCTCTGGATGACGTTGGGTCTCTGAACAAGCAGGGAGGCTAATGCAAACTTGTAAACTGTATGGTTGAGTGCTGGCTTTGGCATACATATACTAAGATCGAGTATTGAAGATCTGTCCAAACACACACCAAGACCCTTGTGAGGGCTGGAAGATTTATTGGTTCCAGGGATTTAAGGAAATCAGTGCAATAATTAGCTGGCCATTAAGGTAGCCAAAACCAGACTTCAGTGGATAAATATGACATAGAAAATAGACTTTACAGAACTCATTCCGGAAAGTCATTGTATTCATTTCCTTTTGTTGCAACAATATATTACCTCAAACTCGATGGCTTATGCTAATGGGGGAGGAATAACTTGGAAAAGGAGGGTGAGAATGATTGCACAACTCAAAGAATGTAATCAACGTCACTGAGTTGTTTATGTACAAATTATTGAATGAATTGGTATATGCTCTGCTTTACATATTCTCAACAACAATGAAAACAATTTTTAAATTTTGGCGGCTCAAACAATACAACTCTACTATCTTAATTTGTTGTAAATCAAAAGTCTAATGTGGTTTCACAAAGCAAAAATCAAGGTGTCAGCAGGACTGCATTACTTTTTGGAGGCTGTAGTGAAGAACGTTTTTTGTTTTGTTTTGTTTTTTCCAAATGCTAGAGGCCACCCACATAACTTGGCTTATGGTCTGCTTCCTCCACTTTCAAAGCTAGCAACATTGGATTGAAATCTCATATCACATCACTCTGAACTTCTGCCTCTCTCCCCTACTTTGATTACATTGGAGTCTTGGTGTGGTGCTGTGGGTTAATGTGCTGGACTGAAAGGTCGGTTTGAACTGCAAGGTAGGTGGTTCAAGGTCAACTGTGGCTCCTAGGAAACCCTATACAGGTCGCTATGAGTTGGCACCGACTTACCAGCACTTAGCAACAACAACAATGTTTACATTGAGTTTATTTGTAGAACCTCCCCAATTTAAGGTCAGTTAATTACAAATCTTAATTCCATTTGTAGAATTAATTCCTTTTTGCTTTGTAACAAGTCTGGGGATTCGGATGTGAACATCTTTGTGGAGAATGGCAATATTCTGCATACTCAGCAGACAAACAGTAACAAAACAACAAAAAACAGCAGCAGCAGCCACAAGAAGTACTATTCACACATATTACTCATCATGTCTATTTTCAACAACAACAAAAATTATGAGACATGTAAAGACAAGAAAGGATGAACACACATAGAAAATAAGTATTCAACAGAAACTGTGAAGAAAAGCATATGTTGGACTTATTATATAAAGACTTCAAATCAACTATAATAAATAGCTGAAGTCTCGGTGTGGCGCTGTGAGATAATGCAGTGGACCACAACGTCAGTTTAAACCGCAAGGTCAGCACTTCAACTTCACCAGTTGCTCCTTGGAAATCCTATTCAGGGTCACTGTGAGTCAGAACTAACTCAAAGGCACTTAACAATAACATATTAAACACGGTCAAAGACTTAAAGGAAGCTACGTCTACAGAATTAAAGGAAAAAGCTCTGGTAGCATAGTGGTTATGAATCGGGCTGCTAACCTCAAGGTCAGCAGTTCAAAACTACCAGCTGTTCCACAGGAGAAAGATGAGGCTTTCTGCTCCTGTAAAGATTTACAGCCTCGGAAACCCTGTGCAGGGTACCCTCACTATGAGTCGGAACCGACTCCATGGTACTTAACAATAAACAACAATATCTCACCAAATAGAGGATACAAATCAAAACACACAAATAAATAGGAATGCTAGAGTTAAAAGGGCAATAAAGGAAAAATCACTAGAGGTAATCAATAGTAGATTTGAACAGGCAGGAGAGAGAATAAACAAACTTTATGATCAATCAAAATGATTTAATTTTAGGAGAAGAAAGAAAAAATAATGAAGAAAAATTAATAGAGCTTCAGAGTCCTGTGGGACATTATTGAGCAAACAAGATATGCATAACAGGAGTCCCAGAAGGGAGGAAAAACAAAAAGGGGCATAAAGCATATTTGCAGATATAATGGCCACAACCTTCCCACATTTAATGAAAAACATTAACCAATACATCTAAGAAAGTCAACAAACTCCAAGCTGTTGTTGTTGTTATTTGCCATCGAGTCGGTTCTGAACCATAGTGACCCTGAACAGGGTTTCCGAGGCTGTAAATCTTTACGGGAGCAGAAAGCCTCACCTTTCTCCCATGGAGCAGCTGGTAGTTTCGAACTGCCAACCTTGTGGTTCACAGCCTGCTTCATAACCACTACGCTACCAGAGCTCCTTTAGGGTAAGCTTAAGGAGTGCTGATGACACAGTGTATGAGCTGCTGACTAAAAGACTTTTCAGGAGAAAGATGTGATAGTATGCTATTGGGGCTCTTGTACTCTGTTCTATAGTGTCATTATGAGTCCAAATAGACTCAAGGGAAATGGGCTTGTTGGTTTTTTTAGGATAAACTTACTGCAGAGTTATAGTAATCAAAACATTGTGGTACTGGCATTAAGACAGGCATACAGACAATGGCAAACAGTTTAAAGAAATAAACCCTTATATTTATGG